TACTTAAATATACAAATAATAAGCTTAATGCACCTCACAGGCGTAATGATTTTTCATATGCATGTTTGAATTTGCTTGTTCAAATTGCTGAATATAAATGGTATAATCCATACTTTTCTATGTGAAACTTATTATGCCAAAAAAATGTCACTCTCCGGAGTGCCTACATTTGGACCGATCCATCATGGAGGTAAATCGTGTGTCCAAGGGGAGGTGAATCATCAAGTGGTATCTAAAGTCGAACCTTAAACCATTCTCGAAGATGTTCACCTCTTTACTCGCTTGATCAATGTCGTGGAGGCATCTTCTATGTAAGCTAACTATTAATACTTTAACAAAAGATAAATGTTTCACTTCTAGTGTAAATGCCCAGAAAGAAACTATATCTCGTGTGCATGCATTTATTCTTTGATATTAACCATTGATAAGTTTTAAGCATCAAACTTATAGTTATCGTAAACTAACTATTATACTTGTTAAAATGTAAAACAAACACTAAAAGATACAAGAGTAAGCAGTTAATGTCAATAACTTGTTTGTGATAATTAATACCCATTAAGCAACTCTTCATGGATTTCTCATTCTACTTAAACCAACCAAATGGACCATAGTTTTTCTAATATTTTTTTACCAAAAATAATTAACCTTACAATCGAAATAAAGTTAATAGCATACAAAACAAACAGGAAAACAATCAAAATGACATGGTAGAAAACTCTATCTCTACAAAAGTAAGCATGCAGACAGAAATTGATTTGAAAATCATACACATCTTATAATGAGGATGGACTTATATATAGTAAATATACTAACATATACTAGTATATTGTAGTTATCATTGGTTTCTTGGTTAGTTCATTGTTTTTCATATACGATGTCTTGTGTTCAAGTCTTTTATTGCAAAAAACTTCAGAAATATAATAAATCTGAAATTAAAAGTTAAAAACTAAAACAATAACTCTAACAAGATTGAAACTCATGTTTGGGGTGGAAGAAAAGTCTTGCAAACCAACTCTACCAAGGAAAACTTGTGTCCTTATTGTAGTTTCAAAATATATACGATGACACACAACAAATTGATACAACGACACTTTTCACGACCCTATAATTTTTTATTATACGATGGAGGAATGAAACAGTGGCACGTGTCGTCACTGTATTATAGAGTACGTCGACTTCTAGTTTGGTGATCAAACTAGGGTTAATTATGCCTAGAGAAAAGAGTAGGGATATATATGGCTCGAGATGGAATCTTATTTTCTGCACTTGAATTCAGCGTCGAGTCTATTTTGTTAATTATCTTGATGATTTCTTTGTCAATGTTGTCAGGTAGCCCTATTTTATATTCACTCACTACTATAATTCAGTATAACACATTCTTGTTCATGGTTCTAGCATCTCTTGATGTAAATTTTAGAAAAACGAACACCATGTTTTAAACCTCCTTCTCTACTAGGATAGAATCACCCACCACAGGTAGTAAAATGAAAAAACTAGTACTTCTTCATTCTCATGGTAGAGGAACCTATACTTGTTCCATCTGAATGAATCATATGCTATAGAGTAGTCAGTTGAAACTGTTTGCTTCCTGATTCAGTTTGTTCAATTATTTTACAACTGTATTTCATCATACATACAAATTAAGAAATTGGATACTAATAAAAGATTGTTTCCGACCCATGACAATGAAAATGGCTTTCAATTATAGATGACATTAAACAACCACTGTTGACAAACCGCTGGAAATTTACATGATCTATAACTATAAGTGTAGGCTTCAACCTACAACACCTATCTGTTTGATATTTTTCATGTTTCATATATTTTTTGTGATCATTTATTGTCCCGGGTGCCAGTGGATTGATTATCTAGGGTCAAGCTCTTATATGGCTTATGGTGACACTTACTAATTTAGGGTCAAGCTCTGCTTTCATTGTAATTTACATGGCTAATTAATGTATGTATTTTTGTGCGTATGTTGCAGTTATGTAATATATATTGCACATATCAGCTTCAGTTTGATGATTAGTGCAACAAAGTAGGCTTATGGGCAAATGTTTTGGGTCTTTGTAATCTCTTCCGCTAGCTTTTTAATGCATTGTCGTTTCCACAAAAAGAGGCTTATGCGCAAAGACAACTAGACATTTAACATAGTAAACCTGTAGGGGTATTCGCAAGGGTATGGTATGCTTTCTCTGGGATCATATTTCATATTTAGCAATTGACAATATGAAAACCAGGAGATAGATTATGACACTTGGTTAGTACCGTAATTGAAATTGATAAATTTTAGGAAGCCAGCTAGCTTATATATATATATATATATATATATATATAGAGAGAGAGAGAGAGAGAGAGAGAGAGATGATGTTTCAAATGCAACATATCTTATTTGTATAACCAATGCAACACAATCAATTGGGATATTTATGAAAATGACGAGTGTTCATTTATTATGATTTGAATATTTACGGAAGATGATTGAAGTTCATTAATAATGATCAACGCTTTATATTATGAAACAATCAAGATATTTACGAAATCACATATTCATTAGATTAAATGGGCGGTTAAGATTGAGCTGCAACGGTTGTACAAGTTGGATAGGTTGTATAATAACCCAAACCAAACGACCTGGTGGTTGGGAGAATAAGATGTAGAAAATTTGACCTCTACCCCTAAGAGTAAAACGATTGTTTCCGTGAGAACACCCATCTTCTGACAATTTCCTATTACTGTTGATTCATTTGTGTGTGTTCATGCCTTGTGTTTGTCACTAGTTTCAAGTTTAATCTTTTATGATTTCGATGACAAGATCAAACTAAAAAAGAACCAAAATCTAATCATTAACGACTAAGGATTGTGGTATGCTTTTCTCCTTTTGTAAGGAAGATAGTGAAATATGGTGAAGCCACTTCTCTTTATGGCTTTGCATCTGGTGGAGTTATGAACTTATGATCCAACATTTTGGCCAAAAGAGGATATATTCATGGGAAGAAGAGCCTGCAAAAAGTGGCTTGCTGTTGTAAAAGGTCCTGAGATCATATTGGGAAATGAATTGCAAAGTAGGATAAACGAGGGAGCCTTCTTGTTGTTTTCTACTTATGTTTACTGCATTGTATATGGTCCACATTGATGCATACTGTGTTACATGCACATTTTCACGCTGTGTATCTTCATTGATCCCATTACCACCCCATTAGATACATAAGTTGTGTTTGCCTCTAATATATATGTGTGTGTGTGTGTGAACAAGTCGTATATTTTATTGTATTTTACGTTTGAAGGATTTTTTGTTGCTTTTTGGTGATTCTGTATGTTTCACGGAATATATATTTGGAGTTATGTGAGCAAGAGGAGCCTCATGTGGCCATAAATTCGGTTGGCCAAATCCTGCATATGTACATAGGGGAGAGTGAATTAAACCTGATATGGTGAGTGCATAGCATACGTACTATGTTAGCTGCCAGTGGCCTGAGCGTAATGTAGAGGGAGTTCATGAGGCCAGATAATGGGATAGCGGGAATCCGATCTATGTACACTAGATGTGCCCTCCGATCTTTGTACACTAGATGTGCCCTATGTATAGTAGCATAAAGGGGACAATGTGCAAGTGAATCAAAACTTATCCAACCTAGTGGCATGCATAGGAATCAACACCAAATTTTGATGACTTCCTGAGCAATTTTAGTTTGTCTACTTGACACTAGGTTTTTGAATTAAGAGTTTTACAATTAGGAACTATATTCCATTATTTTAACATTACCTCAGGTCATATACTATCTGTTAGTTCTCCCTTGTTCCAAGTCTCGATTCGGTTGGACTTGGAATGGAGCAATTAGCATCTGCCGACACCAAAAGCAGTTGAACAACTTTCTTTTGTTACACGTAGGTTCACCAAGGTTGAAGGTGGATGAAGTCGGATGCTAGAATCGAAGATAACTTAAGACACACATAATAACTAATTAACTGGTTTTAATTCTAAGGGAGACATCATTTATATTGTTTCTTTTACTAATACATATCATCTAATTTCTTACTAACTGATGTAGTTTATGAGACAAAACCAATTTGTAAACCATCACTCAATTGGAAATTTATTAGACCAAAACGTTTGTTTTTTACCCAATCCACATGGATGTGAGCTCTCACGAAGTTTGTAGCTTAATTAGGAAAGATCACCCTAGGACACACAATATTAGGTACTTAACATTAATTAGCTTAAGATCCAAAACTAACATAATCATAAGTCTGATGGACTCCCATCACAAAAGCCCTACTATCAACAAAAATTATTGCTGAATTTCGAATGATGAACCGTGTTATTTTATGCTTGAAAATATGACTCTATATCCCTAAATATGAAAGCTACTACTATGATGCTAACAATATCTTTTTTGTTTATACACAGCTCTTTTCCAAGGAAAAAAATTGCAGCTTTATTATCTAAAGTCACTCTATGCAAATTTGAACTTGAACATACTTTTGCAACCATTGGACAAATATTCTGACTATGATTTTCTTTCTTGACTCAGATCTCAATTTTATTAACTTTTGGTAGCAAAAATTGTAGATAAAGAGTATATAGATTCGTTATTTAATGTGTAATAACAAGGATCATCACAATACGAAGAAAAACAAGAAGAAAGGCAGGTAAAATTCAAAAAAAAAAAAGCATATGAACTAGAACCCAGTAACTAGTTTCTATTGAACATATTTTTGTACCAGTAATTCCTATTATTATAAGCTATCAGAAGAAAGAAGAACACCTGAATGGTCCTCTAGTGGTTACCTAAATGCATTTTATTATCCTTAATTGTTTTTCCCTATAAATAGCTTATTTTTTTTCTTTTATTAAGCGGATCTTCTGCAATTTCAATTATTCAAAAGAGATTATGAAATAAATAAAATGAAACAAGCATAAAAGTTTTGCAAATATATAGAATTTATGATTGTAACTGTATGTATATGTATGGGGGGAAGAGAGAGAGAGAGAGTACCTAGGGCCGCTGCAGAACTCATACAGCTTGCCACCATTAGAGAAGATGATAAGAGCAACTTCAGCATCACAGAGCACAGAGAGCTCATAAGCCTTCTTCAGTAATCCATTTCTTCTTTTTCCAAATGTCACCTGTCGATTTATCTTGTTCTCTATCCTTTTGAGCTCAACCCTTCCTCTACCCATTATTTTTTGGCTATTTTTTCGATTAATTAACTGGAAACATAAAAATAGATGCATACATGTTCGAATATAGTTAGATAGATGGATGGATTTTCCCTATTGGAATAAATCTCGTGCAGATGGTTGTACCTAGTAATAGATTTCTTACCTTTCTTTCTTTCTTCTTCTTCCCTTCACTTGTCGGCAGCAGAACCTGTTCCTTTGTGGGTAGTTCTTAGGTTCCTTGTACTTTTCTTGATAGGAATTACTTCCTTAAATTCCCACAGAAAATAAATACCATCCATTATTTGAGTTGTATATATGTGTGCATTTCTGTATGCATATACATATATAATCAATAAAGTTGATGGATATCATATTTTTGACATGTTAGACCACTAGAAAATGACAGGTGAGTCGGACAGTTTTTTTACAATATGGTTGGTTAAAGAAAAAGGAAAATAACTTTAATTATGATGCATAAGACATATTGTCGATCGTTATTTTGCCTTTCTTTTTGTCTTAGTTTCCGTTAAGTTTCTCATTTTACCATCAACTAGAAATGGATGGTTTTCGCATTGCTTAATTAATAGCAGACCATCGTTTATAGTTCATCATCAATTTGTTGCTTTATTTTAATGATCTGAATTAATTACCATACTCAATGATGTTGTAGTTTCAAAGAACTCTCAAATTTTGTTGGAATTTACGAACAACATAGGCATTCCCTTTTAAGTAATTGGGACATAGGTTATAATTCATCGGTCTAATGGTCAGTTTTCAAAGACTCGATTTAGGGGTCGTTTACTTAAATGTTTATCTGGTAAGCGTTTAATGTTAGGAGTCATCACTATAATCTATTTTATCGGGTAAGATTGTAGTACATCAAAGTGGTATCTTATGCAGCAATTTACCCGGTAAGCACTTACCTGGGTAAGAGTCGTCACTCTCACTTACCGAGTAAGACTCTCCATCTTTATCATAGTTCTTACTGGGTAAGATTTTTGACCCTTGCCATGTTCATCCGGTAAGGAAAATTACTCGGTAAGCACTTACCAAATAAGCGTTTAGTAAACGATCCCTTAGTAACCATTTGTTTATTGTTTAACGAGTTTAGCCATCTGTAATCCGGTTGATGCCGTGTACTCTGTTATTAGCTAGCTCCTCGCTAGTTCTCTTGCTCTCTTAATAAATTGCTCTTTTGCGGTCCAAAAAAAACGAATTATTAACTAGTTGAGTCATATAAGTATGTTTGTTTACTTAGGGTATCACCAATCCACCACTAAAAATACTAAAATGTGGGTGTGTTTAACTTCAACCCAACACTATAAACTCTAACAGAAATGAAGGTAAAAAAAACGTTGTTATCTATATTTGGAGGTCAGAAATTTGGCATATATTTATAAAATATTAATATTATATTGAGGTCGTTTAATTTACATATCCAATCATTAGTATAAACTATACAAACCAATTTCAATCTTGATCATCTAGTCTAATGAATATTTGATTCATATGGATATCTCGATCGATTGTTTTCTAATATAAAACGTTGATCATAATAATTAATAAATGAACTCTAATAATATTTCATAAATATTCAAATCATAATAAATAAACTTCTATCATTTCTATAAATATCTCAATTAATTGGTTTCCATAATTTTTACTAATATGTGATTTACGAACAATCAGGTCTCTCTCTCTCTCTCTCTCTCTCTCTCTCTCTCTCTCTCTCTCTCT